AAGGGCTACTGAGAAATCCCACTAGTGGCCCAGGACCGTGAGAAGACCACAATCACTATGCTTTGGCCGCTCCCAATTTGTCTCCATACTGTTTGGCTTCTGTGGGCTGCTGCTACATTCCAACAGATGGCAGACAACTCATTAAGTCCCTGTCAAGAATATGTGGCTATCTTCTTCATCTTCTTAATTACTTTTGGGAAATGCAGTCTTCAAAGAAATCAAGAAAGCTGGTTTGTACCTACACCCTAAGAAAATGAATGCTCACCTGCACCCACATCTGCTACCTCAGACATATTGTTGGAGCAGAAGAGCTGCAACCCTTGAAGGAAAAGACAGCAGCCCTCCAAGGTTCTCCCATAACCACAGCTAAGAGTCAGCTCCATCAGGTGTTAGGACTTGCAAACCATTATAGCAGATTTGTCTTGGTAGTTGCATCTATTATGGCCCTTTTGTTGGACCTTCTTTGAAAGGAGTCAAGGAACCGTTCCCATGGACCTTTTTGTGCTATGCTGATCATGTACTTCATGTCATCTCATAACACCCTATATTAAGAGGCCCTGATTTTTCCAAACCAGGGCTAGGCTTGGGGGCAGTGTTGGCCCAGTGGCCCAGTGAAGGGGCAAAACATTCCATCCCATTTCTTAGTAGAAAGCTCTTCTCCAAGAATGGGCATATTAAATCATGGAAGGAGCTGTTAGCTTAAAGTGGGCAGTTATATCTCTCAGGTACTATTTATTCTGCATCCCTTTTCTTCTTATCATAGACCATGCAGCCATCCACTGGCTTAAAGATGCCATATATCAGTAAAATCAAGTACTGCTTCACTATCCAACATTATCCATATTGGCAGTACACCGTCACTGACTTCTTCTCCCAGGGGCATGCCCCTGGGCCTTTACCACGAGCCTCCCAGGGTGGGGGCAGGTGTTAACTATGCCCAGCTTGGGGAACAAGGGCCTGCCCCCAACAACTCACCCAAAGCAGAAAGTCAAGGAGTAGGAAGTTGCACATGGGCCACAGCAGCACCACAATGAGGCCCCAATGGCCAGTCTTCTCCTGCTGGCAGTGGCCACATAAGAGCTCAGTGGTGGCACCCAGCCCACCCAGAAGCAGAAACAGGTAGGCAGAAGGAGGCAAAGAGTCAGCAAGGAAGGGGTCCAGCACCAACATGGAGAATGTCAGGAAGAAGGGCAGGATCAGAAGATAAAAGAGTAGCAATTAAGGTAGGGGAGAGCAATGAACAAGAGGAGACTGGGGACAGATGGAGAAAGAAGAGTAGCAGAGGAGGAGACAGGGAAAGAAGAGGAGGGGACAGAAGAGAAAGGAGAATAAAAGTGTTATTGTTAAGCATTAACTGGGCATACCTGTCTTTCTGCATTTCTACAAACTCTCACAGGAAGTAAATGGAGTCCTCCATCTTTATAGAAACCAATCCAATGTAGCTTTGGTTTCCAAATTATTTTCGAGGGCTTTTTGTTTTTTTGCTTTTTATTTTACTGTGAATTTCTGTAGGAACTTATTTTATTAATTTATATCCTGCCTTCCCAGTGGGAACCCAAAGTAACTTACACCGTTTTCTCCTCCATGTTATTCTCACAACAACCCTGTGAGGTAGGTATGACTCGCCAAGGTTACTGAACAACTTCCATGGCAGAGTAGGGATTCAAACCTGGGTCTCCCAGGTCATAGTCTAACCACTGTACCAGACTGGCTTGGATTGAGAACTAGCCCAGAAATACTTCATAGGGTTTCTCAAGAACAAGTCATGTCAAACTAACCTTATCTTTTCTTTTTGAGAAAGTTACTACCTTGCTGGATCAGGGGAATGTTGTAGACATAGTTTTTCTTGATTTCAGCAAGGCTTTTGATAAAGTTCCACATAATATTCTTGTTGACAAGTTGGTAAAATGTGGTTTGGATCCTATTACTGTTAGGTGGATCTGTAACTGGTTGACAGATTGCACTCAAAAGAGTGCTTGTAAATGGTTCCTTATCCTCTTGGAGAGGAGTGACAAATTGAGTGCCTCAGGAATCTGTTCTGGGACCTGTTACGGTCTTTATAAATTATTTAGATGAAAAAATAGAGGGAATGCTTATTAAATTTGCAGATGATACTAAATTGGGAGGGGTGGCAAATATAGTAGAAGACAGAGTCAGGATACAGGATGATCTTGACAGGCTGGAAAACTGGACTAAAACAAATAAAATGAATTTCAGTGGGTATAAATGTAAAGTTCTGCATTTAGGTAGGAAAAATCAAATGCATAATTATAGATTGGGGAAGATTTGTCATGGCAGTAGTATGTGCGAAAAGGATCTAAGGGTCTTAGTAGACCATACACTGAACATGAGTCAGCAGTGTAATGTGGTAGCTAAAAAGGCAGATGCCATTTTGGGCTGTATCAACAGAAGTATAATGTCCAGATCACGCAAAGTGATGGTATCGCTTGACTGTGCTGTGGTTAGACCTCAGAGTATTGTGTTCAGTTTTGGGCACCACTGTTTAAGAAGAATGTTGGCAAGCTAGAACATGCCCAGAGGAGGGCAACGAAGATTGTGAGGGGTCTGGAGACCAAGCCCTATGAGGAAAGGCTGGGTATGTTTAGCCTGGAGAGCAAACGACGGAGAGGTGATATGATAACCATCTTGAAGTATTTGAAGGGCTGTCATATAGAGGATGGTGTGGAGTTGTTTTCTGTTGCCCCAGGAGGTCGGACCAGAACCAACGGGTTGAAATTAAATCAAAAGATTTTTTGGCTAAATATTAGGAGGAACTTCCTGACAGAGCAGTTCCTTGGTGGAACAGGCTTCCTTGTGAGGTGATGGGCTCTCCTTTGGAGGTTTTCAAACAGGCTAGATGGCTATCTGACAGCAGTGCTTATTCTGTGAATTTAGGCAGATCACAAGAAGGAAGGGCAGGAAAGATTGCATCCGTACTTAGTTCTTGTGGCCCTTTCTTACACACTCAAGGAAATGCTGATCACTACTTTGGGGTCAGAAAGAATTTGTTCTCCAGACCAGTTTGGCCAGGGATCCTGGAGGATTTATGTGTGTGTGTGTGTGTGTCTTCTTCTGGGCATGGAACAGCAGTCACTGGGGGTGTGGAGGGGAGGTGTTTATTAATTTCCTGCATTGTGCAGGGGGTTGTACTAGATGACCCTTCCAGCTCTATGAGTCTGTGAAATAAACAAAAGCAATAACTGCACATATGAAATATGAAATAATAACTGCACATATGAAAAACTGTGTTCTTTTTTTAGTAGCAGTAAAGCACCCATTTCAGCCGATTTAACTCCTGGTTTTACCCTAACAGTGTAGAAAGGGTATGGAATCTGATCAGTACTGTATTCCTTGGATGTTCCTTTTTTGAAAGGTATCCATGATAACAATAGTATGCGGGACTGGTTCCTTCTAGTCTATGATCCATGAATAAATACACTTTTTCCACTTGTTTGCTTATGTGGTTAAAATGTGTGAAGAGCATTTCATTGTATTTGTGTGTGTGTGTGTGTACTTTGAAAACATAAGAGAAAATTTGATTAGGTTTACAGATCACATTGATATCTGTATATTCTTGTGTCCTTGGCATGGAGGGTGTTCGTAAAGGAATATGACTTCACAAGCTCAAATGGATTTTGGAAAGAAATATTAACTTAAACCATGTAGCTTTGTATTGTCATAATCGTCTACTCTGACTAGCAGCAGCTTTCCAGAGTCCTGGAGAACTGGGGAAGATTCTTTTTTCTAGGCTTGTTTTTTTTTTAATGAAAGATGGGACAGGAATAAGGAAAATCCAGAATTTCCTCCCCACACAGCAGGTATCCAGGCTTTTCTGAAATCTTTCCCAAACGATCCCAATGAAGCAGCCTTGGGAAAGAGCAGAGAAAAGCTGGGGAAGACCTGGGAGGGAGACAAATACACCACAATGCTGTGGGGAGGCAGGGAGAAAACACTTCCCAGCAGCATCAAACTGGGGACAAACAACCCTTGTGGGAAAGGGGTGTTGACTGCTGAACATTCAGAAAATGAAGTTGCAAATGGAGGATTTCCTGCACATTTCCACATTCTTTCCCGCTAGCTAGAATTCTCTGCTCCTACTACCGCTGGATATTTAAACTGGTGCTTTTAAAGTTTTTTCAATTCCTCTATTGTTATGTTTTAAAGTTAAATTGGGAAGCAAAATGAATAATGCAAAATGAGTAACAATGCATTACTTAGTAGAGTTATATCCCTCTAAGTACATTGATTTCATCGGACTTGGAAGGGTGTAACTCTCGTTAGGATGGCACTGCAAATACATTCTGGGTGCTGAATTTTTTTATTCTTATGATACAGATGTTTGCTTGCCATGGACTGGACTTTTTAATTTTGTCCTACTCACTAAAAATAAAGGTAACCCAAATTTCTACCCCATGAATTTGTGACCATAATAAATTATGCAAACTAAACTGTACATATCTACTTAATTTGTATCATTCTTATGTTCACGGGAAGGAGTACTGAAGCTTTTAGAAGTGGAATTTCATTTACATAAGTTTCATTCATATTTTTTCAAGTGCTAGAAACTTGCCTTTTCTTCAGTGAAGTGGGGAATTTCCAGGTGCTGGATTTTACATCTGTTAGCAGATTCCTTAGTTGCACAGTATATCAAGGAATATGTACAAATCTTGTGATTTACTTATGTCTGTAGTTAAATTAGCATTGATTTGGAAAGGGCTAAGCGTAGTACCTAACCTCCTAAACATGTACAATGGTTAGCTTCTGAGGCACTTTATATATGGTGCTGATTTGTTAAGCATGTCAACAGTTATTGGAACTTTTATACAAACAGAGTTTTATCTTTTTTAAAAGCACCAAGGTAGCACGGGTATATTGGAAAGTTAAGGTGAGAACTATGTGATATGATCAGGAGACTTGGAAAGAATTGTCATGGGGACAGGCTACTGTTTCTGTGGTATTTCTCCTGAGGATTAGTTTAACTGTATTCTTCCTTTTTACAGGGACGTTTGTGTCAGCTTTCACAGTACTGTGCGGAGCCCGGACTGACCTCCCCGACAGACATGTTTGCTGCGTCTTCTGGTTGAACATTGCCGCAGCTCTGATTCAGATCCTCACCGCCATTGTAATGGTTGGGTGGATCATGAGTATATTTTGGGGGATGGACATGGTAATTCTTGCGAGTAAGTAGAGTACAGTAATTTTGTTTTGTTTTTGCCTGTCCTTTCTTATTACTAGTATTCAGTTGAGTCCATTCAAACAAACAAATACCTTTATTGGCATAAAATATTAAACAGTTGCCATAGGGTAAAACAATCCTATAAAATTTGTGAAAAATAGATAACTTCTAAAGCATTACAAAGGTATGTCTATTTGTATGAGCTTAAATTATAGCAATATAATTTTTTTCCCAACCGCAAAACCTAGAATTAAATTATACAAACTCATTAAACTCAATTAGAATGATCAGGGACATTTTTCCGTTTTATAAGACCATAAAAGAACTTGGCAGTCAATTCAATAATCTCTGAATCTCGAGAAGTAAGGAGGTAGTGTAGCTTGCTTCCGTCCGGTTGGCATGCTACTTTGCTAAGGGGGACTTCCAGAAATTTCGCTCGAATGTTGTTTAGCAAATTACAACGTAGAAGTACATGCAGTTGAGTCCATTCATGGCACTAAGCACAAGTTTTCTTCTGTGGCTCTTCCCTCTGTTCTTTCATCTTGAATAGATGTGCTGGCTGTCCATTTTTCTTTCCAGTCTGATGTAACAGCAGGATGATTCATAACGCCTTTTGCCTTTATATTTACTTGCTAAAATGGTCTTCTGAATGTATTCCTAGGTGGTAAGCTCTCATGGTAACAAGTAATGGAAAAAAGTCAGTTTTTTTCCTTGGAGCTGGGCTCTGAATCTGCATTTAGCTCATGGTTCTTGCAAGGGCACTTTCCTTGTCCTAGCAAAGAATTGGGGCCTTCTATGCTGAACACTTTTGTGCCAAAGTGGTAATCTGTACTCTTTCATTTGCAACCCTATTATGACATAAAAAAACAACTAAAGTTTATTTCAGAGTTTCTGCATATTTTAATGATGAAGAGCTAGATGTTGGTGTGTTTTTTTTGGAATAAAAGATTTTTTATTTTCCATTAATCATACAATATCCATCTTTTTTTCACTTAGTCAAAAATCCAATTTTCCCTCCCTCCCCCAAAAGGCTTCCCGCAATGCGTCTCCCTTGTGTCACATATAGTCAATAAGTTCAAGATAACATCATGTACTTAATATTGTTCTAAATATAGTAAATTATGTTTCACGTCCCAGTTCTTTTCTAAATATGTTTTAAAGTCACTCCATTCTTCAAAAAATTCCTGGTCTTCTGCATTATTCAATTTTCTAGTTATTTTGTTCATTTCGGCCATGAACAGAACTTTTTGTATCCATTCTTCTAGGTCTGGTATTTTTTCCTGCTTCCAATACTGGGCATATACCATTCTTGCTGTTATCAAATACTAGAACAATGTCCTTTTTGTTACATTTAGTTCTTCCATTTTTAGACCTAGGAGCAGAATTTCAGGTGCTTTCTTAAATGAACATTTTAAAAAATTTTGCATTTCACAGTGGACTTTTGTCCAAAAGTCCATAGCTTTTTCACATGTCCACCACATGTGATAAAATGAGCCCTCATGTTTTTTACACTTCCAACATTTACTAGACATATTCTGATTCATATTTGCGATTTTCTTAGGTGTCATGTACCATCTATACATCATTTTGTAACAGTTTTCTTTTACATTGGTACATATTGATAGTTTCATAGAGTTTTTCCACAAATATTCCAACGTTTCTATAGTTACTTCCTTATTCATAATAACTGCCCATTTTATCATTTGCTCTTTTACAGATTCATCCTCCGTAAACCATTTCAACAGTATTTTATACATTTTAGAAACCATTTTCCTCCCCCCACTTTCCCAAACAGTTTCTACTTCGTTTCTATCTTCTCTAAAACCATAGTTTTTCTTATCCATTTTAAAAACATCATAAATCTGCATATATTTTAACCATTCATAATT